TAATACTCATATTAAGATCTTTGGACCTTTTTTGAATGTATAACAAACTTTTTTTCAAACTAGATATGTCACCTTCAAATAAGCATGACACAATAACATTAATGGTTTTGTATGAATAGAAGAAGAAAAAAAACGTCAACTTTTGAATGGTCAATATATATAGTTATATACCATCTAATTTGAGTAATGTGAACAAGGCTATCTTATTTATGGCGTCACCGTCCTTACTATGAATAGCAAAAAAAGAAGAAGAAAAGTCCTCATATGAACGTAAATGAATAAGCATGTGGACTTTGAAATTCACTAATCTTACCATGCTAGATTTATAGGTTACTTTATTTTAAATGTTACTATAAGGATGGAAGATTCATATTCTAGGACCAATATACAAGTCTTGTTACATAAAATGCATTTAAACCAAAGCAAGTCACTCGAACAGAAATAAATGAATTCCCATCAAAATATCTTTGACAAATTCAAAGAGGATTTTCCTATATTCATCATCACAATAAAAGATCTTTACTACTACAAGAAAAAGTGTTCTCTATTAAAATATTTTTTTTTATTTTCAAGACTCGAATACTATTATTTTTAATCATATTATCACTCTTTCGTGGTGCTTCTTTCAATTTATAACAGTTAATATAGTAGTAAAAAGCTTTGTGCGTGATACCTTAGCTTCAAGTCTTCTTTGGTCAAAACACACCTAAACTATATCTTTTTTTTGAGTTTCATACTCGAACTATCGAAAGTGTGAGAAAGACACCTAAACTATTACATTTTATTTTGAAAAACACACCTCAAGTAAAATATGATAGTGTGTGTATTACACTCTCTCAATTATTATTTTTTTAAATGCCACATGGATTGCCACATGGAAACAAATTCCACCATGTCAAAAGATTAAAGTTTAACTTTCAACATGTAGAAGCATCTTTCTTTGTTTCTCAGCTGAGTCTCTTTGGTGTGTGAAAATTTTGAGTAAATTTAGGGTTTTCACTATTAATTCACAAATTCATCATGGTTTGAAGGTTAGTTACTCATTTGTCAAAAAATGTTAGGGTTCTTATTTTTGTCTCAAAATATTAACGATTTTGTATAATTTTTTAGGTTTTGATCCATACCATCTGAAAAGAGTTGAAAGGAGAAGAAATTGACTACATAAGGTACTCTTTCTTTACTCCTGAACTTAATTTTCGTACTGGTGGCGATTTTTAGCTACTGATTTCATGAACAATAGTTGGCTTATTAAACTTTGCATATTTCAATTGTTCTAAGGTAATGGACACTAAGTACGTAAATTTGAGGTTTCACATCAGTGGTATACTTGTGAGTGAGGTAGGACCTGTTTATATTGGGGGCAAAAAAGAATATGCCTTCAATGTTGATATAGACCATT